CTCTCTCTCTCTCTCTCTCTCTCTCTCTCTCTCTCTCTCTCTCTCTCTCTCTCTCTCTCTCTCTCTCTCTCTCTCTCTCTCTCTCCACTGCTCACATACTGCCCTGCAGTTATGATTAGGGGTAGTCTGCTAGAAGTGCAGGATCAGTGTGAGTTAAAGGAACCACTTTTCTCAAGGGTATTGCTAACTTTGGGCAAGGAGGTGTGTCCCCTTGTCAATCAGTCAAATGCATCTTGGGCAGATTGTCAAGGTTCGACCTCCCGATGGGTCAGTGAAGTCCAACGAAACAGTCCATCGCAGTTACCATTCTTTTGTGGAGTTGTATTTAGGGAACACAGACACACACCTGACAACACACAACACGGCCTTGCTAAGCTCTCCTTTCGGGCGGATCAATGCTGGTAGGGTCGGGACCTGTGCTAACGGTCATGTGATAGGGTACCGATGGCTGAGTGGGTGTGTAGAGCAGATCTATGGTCGTTACTCATTTCACTCTCAGACTTACTGCCGTTCTTGTCTGGTGTTTGGATCGACAGTCTGCTAGGATTGGATTGCGGGGTGGGTGTGTGTCCTTATCTGACACTCAAATGCATTCTGGGCAGACTGTCTGTCCAGGTTCAACCTCCTGCTGATGAGTCGGTGAAAGTCTGCCGAAACAGTCCGCCACAGTCTTGCTTTTTTTTCGTCTGTGAAGTTTGTGTATAGCGAACCTGACACCACACACACACAGACTCAGAGGTCATGTGCTGCTGTGGGTGAGATTCTCATTAGCTGCGTTTCCGGAGCACATTAATGGTAATGGCCCAGGATGGTCTAGTGGTGAGCGGTCCAGGGTGTTTTACGCAGTTGAGTTTTTCGTGTTGCGTGAAGTTCGAGGTTGCGGTCAGATGCACAATATCTGCATTGTTGCCTCTGGTTTCTTGGGGCCGATGGGCGCGGTCTATAGCTATGATGGGCTGGCTGTAGGTTAGTTGTGAAACACAAGGCAAAGAAAAAGCCAGTGGTCAGGACACAATAAATGCCCTGAAAAGAAAGGCTTGTTTTTCTAAGGCAGTTCCGGTCCTTTCAGGGTCTGACTGACTCTGAACTCTGACAGGATTTAGATTAGGGAGGTCAGTATTTGGGTGGTAAGGAAGTGGGGGGGGATGAATGGCGAAGCTATTTAGACGCATTCAAGTTGATTCAAGACATGAAGAACAAATACTTGAAGTACGTCCTTCCTTTCTTGGAAAGGAGGTGGAGAGGAGGAAGAACGAGAGGAAGAAACACGAGTCAGAGAAGGCAGGAAGAAGACAGAAGACGAGAGGGAAGTGCAAAAGGGATGGTAGACAGGGGAGGAAGGAAGAGGAAGGAAAGGAGGAAGGACAGTTGAGGCAGAAAGGAAGGAAAGGGGAGGTGGGAAAGGGAGACAAGAGGAAAGGAAGACTAAGGGCATACTCGGACAGATTCATCCAGGCGCGGTTGTAAATGTGGTCGGATAAATTTTAGATAGGGCTAGTTCGAGTATGCCCTAAGAGAGCAAGCTGGGGATGACGGAAGGGAGGACGAGCTTGGATGAAGTCAAGGGATCGAAAGGAAGGGAAGGGAAGGAAGCAAAGGGTCGCCTAGCTCAGTAGATACACCAACGAAATGTTGAAACACAGGTGAGAGTTCAAGTCCAGATGCAACCAGATGTAACTCTGAATTCATCTGGGGCCGGTCAGTTCGAGCCCGTCGCTGCGTTATCAACCAGGCCGCCTGGGTCACCCGGCTGACTGGCCAGGCAAGGGCCAGGGAAGGTCCCTGGAACGGGAAAAAAAA